CATTCACCCAGGGTTTTTCAGTGTGGTTCTGCTTTCTGTGCCATGTGACACAGCTTGCATAGGAAAATTGGTCTCTCCAACTTTTCTTTTAGAGTTTTGTGGAATTATGCATTTTGACATAAACTGTTATTTCTTCCTAAATGTGTATTTAAATATACATATTGTTTATATTGGATATAAAGAATTTTAAAGAAACTATTGTTCAATGTAGGCAGGGATGGTTAAAATTCTGATTATAATATTTGTATACATTTTAACTAGAGTGCAAAGTTTTTAACAGATGAATCTCTGAAGAACATCATGTGTGCCAGAGAACTTTCAATCTTCAGGACTATCTGACGTAGTCATAGTTTGTTTTAGTATAGGATACCTGAGGATTTTACAGAGGCCAGATAGTTTTCATTAAAATGAATATTATGAAATAAAAAATACTTTTGAAAGAGAATATTTTCATAATGCAAGAACAAAGGAGGGCTTAATTTTATGTCATCCTGAGAAATGAGGGAAACCCAAAGGAAAAATTTAATCCCTTGCAAGGTTAAAGGGAAGTCAGTTGAGTGCCACTGTTCACTCCCCTTTCTCAAAAGCATTCTTTCTGATACAACTTAGATGGAGGAAAAGAGAAATGGTATTGCAACCTAGGTTCATACCTAATGGATGCCTGAGGGGATCTAGACAAATCCAAATTATTTGACTCCTAGTCACCCTCCACATCTCACCACCTTGAGCTGGCATGTGGGTCTTTTGCTAAAGAGAGCAGTGTCATAGATTGTCAATTAAAAAAAAAATCAAAATCTCATTGCTCAAGAAATTCGAGTTGACATTGGGATGAATGCCTCCAGCTTACAAATTATTTTACTAAAAACTGTGCATTGAGAATGTATTTTCTTTCATTTTACATGTTTCTTAGAGATTTTTTTTTTCTTGTCTGCAGGCATATCCTGCATTTTCTGTTTCAATCCTTTCCTAGAGTAACCCTGTTTTAGGGGAACAGGTGTTAATGTATTGAAAGGAATAGTTAAATATATGCAGAGAGAGAGAGCACTGTGGCAGATCACTTCAATTAAACCATTGTGATAAAATCCAACTAAAGTCACACAAAGAATATCCAGAAAGAAATTACAATATTCTTCTCTATCATAGTGGAAGAATAGAAAGAATTAGTCAAAATTAAAATAAAGCAATTCTGATGAATTTTATGTCATTAACCTATGCTTATACAACTCTTCATGCTATATGACCCTTATGTGAATGGAAAGCCAACTATTTGTGCAAATAAATCACCAATGTTTGCATAAATTTCCTGAGACTAAAATCCTTTTTTGCAAGCTCCCACTGGAGGTATTGATTGCACCAAACCTTGAAGAATAATCTGTTACAGACTCAATTTAGAATGAGAGCACCCTAGGGAGAGATAATAACAAAACACAGGGATGAACTTTAAATGTAAACACAGTCCTTAAAGTATAGAATGTAACAGAGTCTGGCCAAAATGTAAAGTAACAGAGAAGTCTGAAGAATCGGAATTGCTGAGGCCTGTGGCTGCCTCACTAAGAAGTTTTGATGTATTTAATAAGAAATAGGGCGCTTGGGGGAATTTTGAATAGGGGAGAGCTATAGGAAGATGACCCACTTGATTAATCTATTTTTCACTGCTATGAAGTATGTAGAAAAAAAGATTGTCACACTCTTTCAAATACCCTACTTTGTATTAATAGTGTAAGTAAAAATTTTACTTGAAATAGGCCGGGCGCAGCAGCTTACGCCTGTAATCCCAGCACTTTGGGAGGCTGAGGCGAGTAGATCACGAGGTCAGGAGATGGAGACCATCCTGGCTAACACGGTGAAACATCATCTCTACCAAAAATACAAAAAATTAGCTGGGCGTGGGGGCGGGCGCCTGTAGTCCCAGCTTCTCAGGAAACTGAGGCAGGAGAATGGCGTGAACCCGGGAGGCGGAGCTTGCAGTGAGCCGAGATCGCACCACCGCACTCCAGCCTGGGCAACAGAGCGAAACTGTCTCAAAAAAAAAAAAAAAAACTTCTTGAAATAAATTGGCAGAGATTAAAATGTGATTTAGAGAAAATTTTGAACAATTATTATTCAGATTTTTTCCTTCATATCATGAGCACAGAAAATTAGTTTTTTCGTTAAACAGAAGTTAATTTTTTTTTCTAGACAATCTCTAAGATGTTAAAATAATTTTCCCTTGACATAGGTTTTTAGGAAAACAAATGTTTTTCTAAAACTGAAAATCCCTTCCCAAAGAAATAAATATTTATTTAGATGTATCCATAGAACCCAGAGTTAAAACTATAACTCTTGTTGTTGTTTTTTTTGTTCGTTTGTTTTTTGTCTTTTGGTTTATTTTAAAGCTGATCTAGAATATGGCCTTCTCCTTCACAGCAGCCATGTGTCCTTCTGTTTTATGAAATGGTTTCTGAGGACTGCTGTTGTTTGTGGAATGAACTCTAAGATGCTAATTATTTGTAATTGACCCTAGAGATCTTTGGTGTGAAGTAATTTGTACATTTGCTCCGGCATAAATGTGAGTCACGTGGAATAGGCAAACGTTCAGGTGCAAGTTGTCAAACTAGAGTGTAACTCTTCATAAGCACTCAGTGTCCATTATCCAAAGAGGTTTATTCTTCTTTCTACCCTACCATTAAGCGCGATGGAAAACAAAGGTCTGGAGAGGCAGTTACATTTATTCTGTCATAATTCACCTCATTTTAGACAAAAAATATATAATATAAACCTATTGCAATATGGAAATATGTAAAGAAACTGCCAGTAATGCATGTGAAAGGATAGGATTGCTTCATATTACAAGTTGAGCAGACATAGGTGGAGAAAGTCTACCTGCAAGAGACGCAAGCGGGTTTTTTTGATAGAATATCTGTGATTTTCTAGAAAATCTGGGTAAAATCAACAGAAGTCAAATTTTAAGTTGTAGGACTTTAAGATTCTAAATAATCTCTCAATAATGCTGGCAATGTGATCATTTAGGATTGACTCATTTGTTTTGGAAATCATAAAAATGGTCAAACAGTTGATTAAATGTTAATGTCAAACAGATTTATGCAACTGAATTTAGAATTTCCAATTTTGTAACAAGTGAATCAGATTTCATGTTTGGCTTGTGATCACTTGGCAATGAGTCACTAGATTGGTACTCTAATGATCTGTAAATTAAATTTTTAAACATAGTATGAAATCCTGTGTATTCTCAAGGATTAGTAAAATAGCTCACATCATGTCTATGTCATTGCCAAAATAATTAGATATTTATTGAGAATCCTTTAAAGTATTATTATTAGAAATAATAAGTCAAAATTATTTGCTTTCTCCCATCCAAGTACTAATCAAGCCCGACCCTGCTTAAATTCCAAGACTAGATGGGAATGGGCATATTTATGGTGATATGGCCATAAGTAAAATGATTTGCCTTCAACTTCAGAAAATAATTTCTCTATGAGGTTTTACATGTAATGGTCTTTATTGGTTTAAAACTATCTCCATCTTATGTGAAACGTTTATAGTGCAACTACACTTATTGTTAGATACAGACTCTGTGAATATCTTCAACCCTGTTTAAGTCACAACTTTTATTATGCCCTAAAGAGTAGCCCAATAATTCTGTCTTCTGAATTCAAATTTTGACAAGAGGCTCTCCCCGTGGGTTGCTGATGAGAGTTGTCAATGGTATTTCCCTGCAAGGGACAAGCTATCTTGTCAATGTTAGGCAGGCACTGTGAATTAAGCTTTGCCTCAAAAATAGTCAAGATTCAATGTCTTTTCGAATTTTTTATTCTTTTTTGGAAATACCAAAAGATGTGTTAATATTCTTGCAGATGGTTGTGTATCTAGGGTAAATTTATTTAGAGTTTTTAAATAAGAGGATAAACTGTCCCCTAAAGCATTGAAAATGTTTTTTTTTTCTTTAACTATTGCAGAGGTGGGGAAGAGAAGAGAGTAGAAGTAACCAAAGTAAAACAAAATGAACAAATAACAATAACACAATAAAGCTTTCTTTCCATGCTTACATTGCTTTTTTGTCCTCCAAAAGAAGCAAGGTTCAAAAGACATATGAAATAAGTCATGAAAGTTGTAACGTTGTACATTGAACCAGAGTAATGTCCTTCCAGATCTGGATCTGCTGTTGTCTTCAAGATGAATGTTTGACTTCTCAAAAATACAAATAAAACACCTAACCTCAAATCTGCTGGCCTCCATCAAGGCCTGACCTATGTCTATATGACCTAGTTACAAGTCAGCTAACCAACGGGCATGGGTTTTCTTGCCTCTAAAAATGGAAAAAAATGCTTCCATATGATCATTAATGGAAAATGACTGCTCTTGAGCAGTTGCCAGAAAGGGGCCTTCAGGAGGCTACTGAACCAAACCTGCAAGGGAATTGTGAAACCCAAACTTTCTTTGTTGACCCTCCTGGGAAACCGGGGGTTCTTACCCTAGATGAATGAGAACTCTGATGTAGAAGATCCACCATGTGTGAGCCCCATTTGTGCTGTATGGACCAACAAAACAGTCAAGTGTACAATAATTGTGATGGCTGACTCTGATGGGGTGAGGGAATGGCATATCCTCTAGGGTCCTGTGCTGAACGAGATTTAGTGTTAACCACTATTGACCCTTACCTAGAGTGAGCCTGAGTCCCAGTGTTGCTGACAACATTGGTAGCCTCCCCATCACAGATGATTCAAGTTTTATTTTTCAATCCGTACAACTGTTTCCAGATCATACCTAAGTACAGTGTGATTTCGAAGCCTCTCTTGCGTTTGACCTGTGGGGGTGCAGAAGAATAGGGGCTCAGATTTACATGACAGAACTGTTCTTCAGTTCCAGAGTGAGATTTTCTCTTAAATGAATGTGTAGGTGGAAGGGAATCTAAAGCCTCTTTGATGCTACCCATTCTGGTTCCCCTTATCCAGCATCTTGATAGAAAAGTGCACAGTGAAGTTACCTCCAATTCCTTTTAGGTTAGGATTTTAAACAAGAAGATCGATTTTAGCAAAGTTCAGTCCAGATGTGGTTCCAAGGATAACATCAAACATTCGGCTGGGGGCGGAAATGTAAGTAGAAGCGCCTGTTAGAAAGCTGTCCTGACTGCGTGGAGCCACCTGCACAGCCAGCACCCTGCCTTCTTTCCCACCTCTTTCCAACACACTGCTCCTTTCTCACTGCTGTTCCACATGTCTCCCTGGTATGATAGCTTGTAGTCTTGCATTTTCAGTGATGGACTTCCCATCCTTCCCTGTAAGATCATCAGGGAATTTCTTGCTTTGATTTGGGAAAGAAAACCTCGATGGAATGCACCATGGTTTTCTGGGGAATGGCAAAACCACTTCACTTGCCAACTTTGTTGCTGGCCTTCTTGTTTTCAATGTATTTTCTCACGTTGTTTCTACTCCACTGCAAAAGTCAGCTGGGCACATATTTTTCTAGCTCCATATAAATTACCCATGAGGCAAAGACTGATATACTTGTAAATGCCCAAAGTATGTAATGTCAATCTTCAGTGGTTCATTATTCATGAAAGTAAGGATATCATTTAGAATAATACAAAACTAGTGGAGCATGGTTCATCTATAATTCAAAGTGAAAGGATTCAAGTCCAGTGTACACTTTAGTTTGATGGGATTTTTTTTCCTGTCTCTTTCATTTAGTGTAAATAATATCCTGTGAGAGGAAGGGAACGATGATTCCATGTTTTTTAAGTGTGGTTGAGGCAGAGTTGAAATGGTCAGACAATCTCAAGCTAAAGGAAGGATGGTTCTTTATAAAATAAGAATAGTTTTTCAAAGGTGATCAGGCTAACTGTATCCTACAGATCCTATCTCTTTGAACTTCAGTTTCTGATCATCCGTGACTCAAGTAATTTACAAGGCGTTGAGTCTAGAATCTCACCTGTCTATTAACTCTTGGCTACTTGCTTCCCAACTGGGCAGAAGTAGAATCAAGCAGTGAAAGAGAGAGTGAGAGAGAGAGAGAGAGAGAGAGAGAGAGAGAGAGAGAGACAAGCAAGTGCTTTCTACAAGCAGCTGTTGCCTGATAATCAAAGTAGCTTCACTGAGCATAAAACTGTCACTGTCATTGAAAGTCCATAGCAATGTTTGCTGGCCCCCTTCAAGTATGCTAGGCTAAGCCTCAGGGTTAATCTTTACATTTATGTGGTTGCCACTCTTCCTTATTCCCCAGACTATAAGTATATACTATGTGGTACTTTCATAAAAGTAGCCCCAGGCCTGGTAATTACTTGAGGATATCAGAGGATGAACCCAGCTATCCTTTACACAGGTGCTGCTGGACAAAACACCTAAGTGGAAAAGGATAAACTAGGATAATTAAAGACCTTAAAGTAAGTAGAGGAGCTTTATCTCCCAAAACAATAGTCTTAAATTTTCCTCTAGGAAAGAATCCCTTGTTTAAATATGCAGACATCCTGGCCCTGTCCTCATGATGCCTGTGATTCAGTAATTCCCAAGTACTCTCGTGCAGATGACAATGGACCAAACTTGGAGAAGCACTGCTTCAAATATTGGGAGAGGAAATATTTTCAGTAAAACACAGAGAAGAAAAAACATGTTGCTATCATTTTATAATTTGGTATGAAAGAAAAATTTCATCTAGCTAAGATATGACAATGTAATAACAACTTAGAAAAGCATGTTCAGAACTTCTTGTATCTTAAAACAATGTTGGTCTTCTTGTAACTATGAGCAACATTGGTCACTTTTATGTAAAAATCACTTTATAAAGAATAATGCATCTCTTCTCTTGGCTCTTTGCTTATGGAAAGGTTTAACGCAGTGTTGCTTAGTTCTCTGAGTGGAAGCTTGCCTTGTTAATATGTTTCTATCCTCCTGTGTCATAATCTGCTTTCAACTAATAAAATCTTCTATTCTAGGGTTTTCTTTCACTTGGGTTCTTTCCAATCCAAACATGTGGGAGAATATATGGAAAAATATGTCTTCCTGTGTTTGTGTGTGTACTTCAGTTTGGGTTTCTAGCTATGTTGTTGCATGTTGTGACTTTGGGTATGTTTCTAGATTTTATGTATGAGCTTGGGTTTTTGTCCATGTTTGAACTATTTTAAGCATGTTTTATGTGGTTCACATAGGTACAAATTGTTACCAAGAAAATAGACCTAAGCCATGTGACATCCAAATGTGGCTCTCTGAAGAACATCCGCCACAGGCCAGGTAAATAAATAATTTTTAGTAGTTTGAGAAATATTTAATTGGAATCAAGAAATGGATGAGAAAATTTGTTGTTGTTGTTGTTGCTGCTGCAAAATACCTAATTGGAAGGATGTTTTAAAATCTAGATACTTCACATTTTTATTAATAGAAACTAAAATTGAAATTTTCAAGGCATCTTCATTGGGGAAAAGTGAACCCAATCATACAATGAAGAGGACACATTTTAATTAAAAATTAAAAGATACATAAGGTGCATTTATCTTTATGTACTCAACATGCTTATTGGAGCTCCTTTGAAATATGTAGTCTATAAAATACATCAGATCATGTATTCATATATAATAACATTGAATGGAGGTAGCATTTCCAAAGTTTTTTTCCTAAAATTGGCTTTCTATATTATGTAAAATAAGGATTGTGCTTTGCAAAGCTGAAGAAATGTATTTATCTGGTGAATTTCTCAGATTCTTTATTAGGTCAGTAAACACCATGAATCTCCAGCAGAATGCAGTGTTTCCTCAACTTACTTGACCATGAACCCCTTTTGGTTTTTCAAAATATCTCATGCGACTAGTGCTCTAAAGTAGAATTTATATTCATACTTACTGGGAGATTTTCTCCCTTTAAAGTGTGAATCTTAACATTATGAGTCACTTTTCCTGAATATTGTGTATTACATGTTTTTGTTAAATTCTACCTCTGTAGAGTGGGCATGTTGGCTCATGCCTGTAATCCCAGCACTTCGGGAATCCAAGGCAGGAGGATTGCTTAAGGCCAGGAGTTTGAGACAGACTCGGCAACATAGGGAAACCCCTGTCTCAATAAAAAATTAAAAATAAAAATAAGCCAGATATGGTGGTACATGCTTGTAGTCCTAGCTACTTGGAAGGCTGAGGCAGGAGGATCACTTAGTTTCAGGAGTTCGAGGCTGCAGCAAGCTATGATCACACCACTGCACTCCAGCCTGGGCAACAGAGCAAGACCCTGTCCCAAAGAAAAAACTCTACCTCCATAGATATGTAATAAAAGATGACTGTCAAATTTGTAATTTTCTTGAGAATATTTTGACACAATTCATTTATCCCTGAGAACAAAAGGAAAGCAAGTGGTTTTAACTGTCTGTGTTTGGCATCTTAACATAAAAACAAAGTAATAGGTTTTTTTTCCCATGAAACAAGGTATAATAACAGTTGAGCTGTTAGCTGATAATTATTCTGCTAGTCAGGAGAAAATTATTAATAAATTATTGGTTGAAAAGCAAAGATAGGTAGAATAAATTTCAAAATGGATAAATGCATTGAAAACATCTGGAAATCAGGGTTCATTTTGTCAATGGGTGTTGATTATAAAGCAAGTCAAAGAGTTACAAACTATATTTATGAAGTCTTCACTACCAGTTTCAGAACTGCTGCCATGGAATTAGCTTCTCTGTTTTTCATGAGGCAGCAGGAAGGTTGTCCCATACTGCACATCTTCAAAATTCCCCTGTCCACAGCTGAAGTGTACAAACACTGAATTGACTTTGTACTGCTGTGTCAACAGCATGGCTGGAATACTTGGCAACACTGCCTATTTTCTTTCAGAATACAGAAGAAAATGCTGCACTCTAACCTAGACAGTAAGGTTATAGTTAGTCAAACTCACCTGTGATCTAGATATACGGAAAAAAATTTATATAGCCAAGGAACTATTCTGTGTATGATTTGTTGGTCATAAAAGGCTGTTGTCATGGACTCCCACCTATTTCTAAATCTAGCTCTTGCTTCTATTATAACTGAATCAAATGACTAAATTCATAAAGAAGTGTCAGCATAATAATCCTTGACAGCAGCAACCTTTTCACAAAATTATTTTGGAATGTGGAATATCTAAAGAGAAAATAAAGAAAATAAACATCTGGAGGCAAACATTGAAATATCTGTTCTTCTCAACTTCATTTATAAAGCTTGACAAAGATAATAGTCTTTCACAATTACTGCTCCTGATGAGTGAAAGAATTATTTGAAAAATCAAAGGCATAGATCTCTGAGTTTAAGATATCTGGATTCTCTAACAGTTGCATAAGAATTTCTAGAGGGACTTCATCAGAACTAGACTTCTTAAGCTTCCTTTTCTGAATATGTTTTGGGTCAATAATATGTTATTATTTTTCCCACTCAGAAGACAGTTCATAGTGAGATTCCATCTCTACAATAAAAATAAAAATAAGCTGAGTGTGGTAGTGCACACCTGTAGTCCTAGCTACTCAGAGGGCTGAGGTGGGAGGATCACCTGAGCCCAAGAAGTCAAGGTTGCAGTGAGCTATGATCCTGTCACTTCACTCCATCCTGGGCAACAGAGCAGACCGTCTCCAACAATAAAAAAATGACATTTTAGCAAAAATTTAGCAAGATTATGTTGACACAACATATAATCAGAAAAGTAAGTGATCTCTATCAGAGGCTACCAAAAATACAAAAATAAGATCACAAAGAAGTTGTTCTTATCTAGTTGAAAGTCCAACATCCTCTAACCTCTAACCAAGATAAGTCTGTTTTATGAATCATTACGAATCATGTTCATCTCATCACAACCAACAAGTAAGACCCATATGGCCAGGTAAAATGTGGGAAGAAGAACGCTCTAAAAAATGAGGCGTATTTTGAGGGAAGGATAACTACATCTCTAAGCATGAGTTAAATAACATCATATAGTTTATAAGCCTTAAAAGAAGAACGAATGGATATTTCTCCAAAATGTAATCTAATTGTGTAATATAATTTCAAGAGGTCCCTGGCCAGGCAGTTGGGTATTAACATAGATGTCTAGATATTGCATGAGAAAAATACCTCATGGCTTAAGAGACCTGTGAAGCCTTAACAAACCTTCCTCCTTTGTCTACAGAGATACATGAGCAACAAGAGAGATACATGAGCAACAAGATTCCAAAATTGCAAAATCTCTTTCATATTTCCATACAGTCCCTCAGGCTTTGTTTCAAAATCAAACTCCCAAGCAAGGTGCACTTTATGTACTCAACATGTTTGTTGGAGCAGCTTTGAAGTATGTAGTCTGTGAAATACATCATAACCAACAAGTGAGACCTACGTTACCACTAGCTTTCCAGAAGAACGCATGTGCTCAAAACAAAGCTGCTGTTAAAGTGAAAGCAAATCTCTTAGGTGGAGATGAGTAAATAAGGAGTCTCATTTCACTTTTTATGCAGGTCAAACACATCAGCAGACACTCAGAAATGGTCAAGGACAAGCTCAAGGACAACAAATAACTTAGCCAGTGTAGAACTTTCCATATTTGCGAGCTTGAGAGAGACATGTAGAGACGGGGAAGACTAGACTGAAGAGTGCAGCGTGGCTCTGTTACAATCAGATCAGGGTTCTAGACTGATTAGCATTAGGGAAAATGGCGTGGTCAAAACTCTGTCTCAATATTATCAGATCAAGGTCAGCGTCAAATTGGTCCTATGGCATCCACACAAGAAAGAGAGGATGATCTGTCACTTCATATATGAATTAAAATGGGAGGCTTTTAAAGCTTACTAGTCGTAAACAACTTAGCTCCTGACTCATTTCATCAGTGAAGCTTTCAATGTTGAACATTTATAAATGAATATATTGCCCACATGTGCACCACTTCCAGCCTAAATCTTCTTTGGATAAGTAACCTGTTACCATGAAGAATAAAGAAGAGTTTCATTTAAATTTAATTTGGTCCCTTAGAAATAAGAGACTAAATGTTCCAACTTTTAGAAAGGATTCAAATAAGATATTTTCATTTTGCTAATTTTTATAGTGTTTGTTATACCAAAAAGAAAAGCCCCTCTGATTTCTTAGGTTAGACATGGGTAAAGGAGAAAGGTATTAATATGTGAAGCAATCCATATAATGGTATAAGAAGGGTTTTATGGTCTTGGATCATCTGACAAAATGATATGGGCTAGAAATTCTAAAAGATTCCATTCACATATATTGTTGGAGGGATGGTAAAGTTAATAAATTTGTGGTTTGCAGCAGTCTATCTACTGCAATCATTTTTGGAAAATAATCACCACAAATGCAAGATATAGTTATATCAAGGTAATTCTTCCCTCGTAGGTGGCGGACGTGTGAAAATTGAGAGTGTAAAACTAGATTTCAAAGAAAAGGCCCAAGCTAAAGTCGGTTCTCTTGATAATGCTCATCATGTACCTGGAGGTGGTAACGTCAAGGTAAGAAACAAGGTTATGAGCCAATGTTGTCTTTTAAAAAAAAAAAAAAATTCTTCTGAAATACTCTTCATCAAAATAGGTCCCAGATTGAAGACCTGGACAAATAAGAAGTAGGGATAACAGAGGTGAATAGAAGTCATTAATATCAGCCCTGGGAGATGGAGAAAGAAGTAGGGGTCAGTTAAGATGCCTGAGTTAACGAGGACTGATGCTTGTCTTAAACAGATTGACAGCCAAAAGTTGAACTTCAGAGAGCATGCTAAAGCCCGTGTGGACCATGGGGCTGAGATCATTACACAGTCGCCAGGCAGATCCAGCGTGGCATCACCCCGACGACTCAGCAACGTCTCCTCGTCTGGAAGCATCAACCTGCTTGAATCTCCTCAGCTGGCCACTTTGGCTGAGGATGTCACTGCTGCACTCGCTAAGCAGGGCTTGTGAATATTTCTCATTTAGCATTGAAATAATAATATTTAGGCATGAGCTCTTGGCAGGAGTGGGCTCTGAGCAGGTGTTATATTCATTCTTTATAAACCATAAAATAAATAATCTCATCCCCAAACTGTAGTAATTGTTACAATTTTATATTTAAAAAATGAATAGTACATGCAGAAATTGACCTGATTTCCATTTGCAACAGGAAGACACTGGCTTTACATGGGTTCAATTGGACAATTATTTTTGCTCTGCTCTGTTTTGCATGGAGTATTATTTTAAAAATTGCATTTTTACCTTTCATGTGCCTGAAGGCTATCCACTACATTCTGAAGGCCTTGTTAAATCCAAGCTGCTCATTTCACTATTCTGTTCCTGAGTGAGAAGATAAAAACTGCCCATTGTAACTTATTTCAGGTTAAATTAAACCAAGGAGTCTGATTGCAGGAAGGGAAGAGCATGTAAGAAATAAGTTTTTTTAAAGTGTTATTTTGTATAAATGGGAAGAAAGATTCAATTAAGTTATTAACATTTGGGACCTGGATAATTATATCAGAGTATGTCAATCCAATAAATTATTTAACTAATTAAAAAAATAGATTGCAAAGCATTTGAGCTGTGGTTGAGGAAGTGGTGTAAAAGTGCATCCCTTAGGAATGATGCGCTTTCATTAGGATGGACTCGTGTCTGATTAGAATGTCAGTTGATCAGCTAGATTTGTGTCCACACTACCAGTTTCACACCCCCTTTCCATCTGTTTGATACAGTATTATAGATATAAATATATATATATTTCTCTGTGGCCATTTGTGATACTTCCTCATATACTTGAATATTATACTTCTTTATTCACAGTATCTGTGTCTCCTGCACCCTTTGGTGTTGCAATTTTAGGTATGTGAAAGTAGATGTTAGCAGGGTTCTCTCCCTATTTAAAAAAAATACATTAAAAAAGACAAAAAATTTTAGCATGAAGTTGCTTTCTGTAACAACTCAAAGCCGTAACCCTGTTTTAGTGCCAGATACAAGTCTCTCCCGTGATGCTAGAAAAAAATTATTTTTCTTTGCTTTCACCAACATGGAGTTTGTGGGGTGGGTCCAGTTATACATGAAAGGGTTTACAGATTGTTGGTTTAAGATTATGGATTTATCTCATTTTTAATCACAGGATAGTTTGGGGTTTATGCCTATTATTATTCACGAAACCGACTTAAGATGTTTTCTTTACTTTTCTTTTTTTCCATTTGCTAAAGTTGAAAGTTGAAACTAACAGTAATAGTTTGAAACATGTTTTCTCATTTTTCCAAGTAGTATCTGTTTATTAAATTCTCTAATAGAAGATGTTTGTCTTTCTTACCCAAAGTAAAGATCCCCTGATCCGAAAGAAAAAAATACAATACTTTGGGAAGCTATAGCTATAAAACACTTGAGACACAGATATCTAAATCAGTTTTTTTCCAAGACTCCAACATTGCACTCTGTAAAGTAACACAGTGTGATCTAGTATTATTTATCAGAGATAATACTGTTCTGACTGTATATACAGTCTAGAACTCACAAATCAATTAATTCCTCTCACAAATCATTCATCTTAGACTTACAAATAAGCAATGAAATAGTCAATGGCCTGATTCAGACAAAGAGCTACCAGGCTGGATGGACACTTTTTAGTATTTTATCTTTTCTTTTTCTTGCTCAGGGCTGGTAGGTTGGATCTGAACCATTAAAATCATATGGTCCACTAGGCGTATGATCTCTTTGAGCCAAATCGGTTCCTGAATATAAAGGAGGAAATGATGAGGATGGACTGAGGCAACGGGGAAGTATAGAAACGTCCAAGTCAAAAGCCAAGGGATGCAGAGACAGAGACACAGGTGCTTTTTGGTGACCCAGTGGATATGGCAACCAATGTAACTGCCATACAAGAAACCCTAGGAGCAAACCCACACCACTCATTCTCAGCTAAGAGATTTTTCACAGGCAAACATGTCTTAAACCATTTACAAATCAGTTATTTTATTTAATAGTCAAAACCTTAGAAACCTTAGGATCATAGATATGTCTATTTTCCGCCTATTAATTGCTATGAGGTTTGATTTGACCAGTCTGGGCAATTTATTCATCAGCTTCCCTTGAAGTGCACCAGAAAATAGAAGAAAGGTGTGTGGAGACTTAGGGTATTTTGTTACATGTTTTGATAGTCTTAAATAGTGATTAAATTTATCTAGAAAGAAGTTAACAGCTCATTAGAAAAGTTTTAACCTGTGAAATAAGTATTTTTCTCAATATTCTTTAAAGCTTTTATGTAAGTTAACACTAGGTACACATTCTACATACTAAAAGTCAGTTTATTACAAATACATACCAAAAATAAAGATTATACAAGGCACCAAACTACTAGATTTGGCATTAAAACAAATGTTTATTTCTAATTACAACAAAATTATAATGAATAAATGTTCTTGCTTTGTATGGAAATACAATTCTTTATTAAAGTTAACAGAAAGGAACTGATCATTTGTGCCAGTAAAAGAGAGAAACACACAGGTTAAATGTCTTCTTGTGAGGTTAAGGGGTAGAACCTATCTTGCCTTCACTCTCAAGATAACGACTCAAATTAAGCTTTTTGAGCACCACTCTTGTGGGGACACACATACGCTGATCTAGGAATGAAATCTTCGTGGTCTCAATTCTAGATCTACTTTGCCAGTTTCTCTCTGGCTTTAGCCTTTGAGAACCTGTATAAGAATACATAAATAATCCAGAGCTGTGAAGAGTTAAAAGGCCTACTTCTCCAGTGAACTCACCCTCTGGGTCACTTGCAACCAAAAATTGGATACCTCATAATGATGCAGGAAAGACCCGAGTTCTTGATGAGTTCCAAAGGCCACGTTCATTTAGGAACCAACTCTCTCTGGATTCACCTGCTGAGTTCCAGCAGCGTGATGGGCTGACATCCCACCTACAAGCATGACACCTGTGTAACACCAGCTATGTATGGCTGAGGAAGGCTGAAAGAAAGCCATTAAATGGAAGAATGTACTGATTGTAGTGACCTTCTCCACACACACACACACACACACACACCCCTAGAGTAATACAGCAAACATGGAATAATCAGCCAATATATAACGTCAGTATTTTATTAAATAATCTGAATGTGGTTGATTTTGACATCGCTGCAATTACAATTTTCTTCTATTTTTCAAGTCACAATAAGGAAAATAAACTACTCATGGTCTAAATACCAGAGATAAAGTAGACTCATGGCTTGGTAAGGAAATTTTAAGCATTCCTTCAAAGACTGACGTGCTAAAGTAAGTATTGATGTTTTGGGTTTTTTTACACCTAGGATTTTGCTTGGGTGTGTAGGTGAAGGCCAAGACCCTCTGCAGGAAAAAGCTTATTTTTAAACTCAGAAAATAAAATGTCAATCATAAAAATCTACTTCAACTTTAGCAAAAAGAAAAAAAATCAACAAAAAGTATACTCTGTATGCTGGGATTCCGAGGTTCCAACACACCGTTACAAATCTGTGGGGGGTTTCTTTCTTCTGATAATTCTAGAGCCTGTTACCATAGAAAGGCATTTCTTCAATGGCTGGTTGTAGTTAGTTCATGTTTTTCAATCAAATTTGCAAATGTATTTGTTGCTGTATAGTGATTGTTTTGCAAAATAAAATTGCTTGTCACCTAACTGCTAGTTTTGGTTTCAGACTGTTTAATTGCTTCTCCTCTGGGGAAAAAAAAAAAAATTATATATATATATATATTTTGTGTGTGTGTGTGTGTGTGTAATACAACCAAAGAAAAATTGTGAAAACAAGGCTATTATTATGGCTGAGTTTCTATTATGTGTCAGGCCCTATACTAAATGATTTTATATTAGCTCAATTAATAAGGAAATTTATTTTTATCCCTACTGTATTAGCAGGATGCTATCTTTTGCAAGTGACAAAAACTCTAATTAAACGGGCTTTAACATAAAGGTGAATTTGTAGGCTCAAGTAACTGACTACCCAGGTGTATCTGCCTCAGGCATGGCTAGATCCAGGCCCTCAAACAATGTCATCAGGAATCTTTCCTTTTCCAACTTTCAGCTTTGTTTCCTCTGTGTTGGCTTCCTTCTCAGTCAGGCACCCCTTCCATAATGGGCACCAGAAACTCCAGATTTCACAACCTACCAAAGAAAGCCCCTTTGTAGTAGCTCAAATCCAGGGTCTGAAAATCACTGAACTATTAATATTTGGATATCCTGCCTACTTATGCTAATTGACCAGGCTTGGCTCACATACCCAAGTCAATCACAGGTGGTTGGAATAGTAGGAGAATAAGAGGAGAAGTGGCTTTATTGTCCTCCATACTACCTGAGCTAATCACGGAGAGGAAACATTTCCTCCAAAGTTAATTCAGGCTACTCCTGCCAGAAGAGAGGAATTGATACTATACAGGACACAAAAACATATATGTGGTATAGCTGCACCCCTGCTCATCTTTTAGCTCCTTACAGCTCAGATTATGCTCAGGCTTCACCAGGGAGCTTGATAGAAATACAAATTTCTGGGCTCCACCCCAGACCAACTTACTAACATTCCCCCAGGTGATTCATCTGCACTCAAAAATTTGAGAAACACGCAGCTCATTCAGTCCCTGCTACTGTGTTTAAGGAGAAAGAGCTCCATTGCAGGCCTCTAATGGATAAAAATTATCCCAAAGACTATTTGAGACAGCATCCCTACCTCTGATGTCAAACTAGGAACCAAGACATAGAAAGCTGTGACTGGTAAAGGAAATACTTCTGTCTGTATTAGAGGTTTTCCAACCCTCAAGACTATTTTAACTTGACTAAATCCTACTAATCTTATTAATGGCATCACTTCTCATTCAGTCTGCCTTTGCTAATAATGAAGATTTTGTAGAACCTAGCAAGAATTGTTAGTGTACGTCTAATAATTCCTTAAAATCAGCAACATGTTGTCACTCAAGAGTCTTCAAACCACGAGGATTAAATTTGTCCAGTAGCATGAATCACCATAAAATTGTTGCTTTCTTTTTTATTAGTTAACAAGGCAAGGAAAGGTTTATTTGCCTTGACAAGAGACAAATAACTGATAAATAGTGGAGGACGACAGGATAACATTCAGTGTAACTTACAGAAAGATCAATGTTCCTCTTCTTGTTTATGATGTGGCACTTGCTTGTAGACCTGAGACTTCAAGAATTTAGGGCTAGAAAATTGTCAAAAGTATGCAGTCTAGCAACATAAAATTGTTTCAAAATATTAAGCCCTTCACTAGATTTTCTTGAGCATGATGAAGCAGCATCATAGACACACTCTTTAAAGCCCCTTTTTCCACCTCTCATGCCTTTCCCTCACAAATATGCGTCAGCTGTTCCTACTTCTACTCCCTTAAATTCCGAGACAATCTGTGTCCCAGGCCTCAATTGAGGTAATAAATCTGTGGCCTCCAAATAGGCTTTATTTGGCCTTCAAAGTGTTTTCAAATTTCAGAAAGCTCACACACACATCCCAGATTTGGATCTTCACTCTTGGTGACCATTGATCAGAACTGTCCATGGGTACCTCTGAGATGGGGTTTCTTCACTTGACTTGGCCGCTATGCCTAGCTATGCTTATTGTTTTCTCCCACTCCTCTTCTTTCACTCATTATGATAAGCATTAAACTACAGATCTAGAGTTTGTAACCCTTGACCTAGGCACACTTGTCTTTCTCTCCAATACTGTCCTCTTCCTATGGAACAAAAGTCCAAAATCCTAGAGCCCCTAATCCTAGAGCCAGGGAGTTAGGTAGGTTTAGACTGGGATCCTCAGGGTGATGAAGAACTGGGAACACCAATATTTATAGCTTTTGTCCTGTCTCAAAAAAAAAAAAAGAGGAACATTATGTCATAGTAGCAGCTGTTAACATCCATGATAAACATATCTAAGTTTCTGCACACCCCTTATGTTTATCATTGAATCAAGGAAAAAAAAAAAAACGGCAGTGGAGTTTGTTTCCTTGTCATGCCACCTATGGTAAAGATCTCATTGTCAAGTGAGAAATGATAAAAACTATCATCTTACTCAGTAGGACTGAACATATAGGATACTTGCCTATTCCTTTTAGGAACAAAGAAAGGCATAGATAGGAAACACTCTAGCCTAGACAAGCCAATGTTCTTGAACCCAAGGCTGATCTTCAGGCAACTTCCATGTTACTTAATTGAATAAGTTGCTTCAATATTGAAAGACTTGCTGCCCAAGCCGCCTCCCCCTTACCAATGCCCACGTTGACCACCCAAACCTATTCTTCTGTGCTCTACAGACGTCCTCTGATTCCAGCATATACAAAGGGACAGAAGAAGGTCTTCAAGATCCTGCTCCAGTCCCCGCAAAAGCCCTGGCTTCCAGGCATCACCAGTGGCTACTGTCCCCCAAAGGCTCCTGAGAACTAGCTTGTGCCTTACAAACTGTTGCAGGAAGCCCAGGTGGGCAGCACAGGAGGTCTATACTGACACCTAGCAGCCTGCTTTCGTGCCAGACAGCCTGCTGCAGCTCTTACTTGCCTACCTCATCCCCGCATTACAAGTCAGAAGGAGATTGGAACCCCCCAGAGGAGATAGTGCCTTTAGTGACATGTTGGTAGGCAGATACCTCATGCACATATAACCATACCTTAACTATGGTCACCTGTTGTCAGTCACTAATCCCCTAAGAACCTCTCTCATGTGGTTGCTTATGAAAACTAGTCACCACAGGGCTTGAACTCTTAGCATGGTATAAAAGATAGACAACAGGAACTAAGGGGGTAATACAGGTTCCTAAGGCCACAAACAGAAGGATGTTGTAATAGATAGGCTAGCCTATGGGATGATTCGGACTAACAGATGCCTAAGGTAAGGAGTTTTTTATGGTCCATATTCTTAGTCACCTCCATTTTAAACCTACCCAAAGCCCAACTGATGTGGGTATTACCAATTTTAATTTTATTCTTATTTAGTGATTGTGCCAGGCATCCTTAAAAACATGCGTTAACTCCTAATTGTACTGTATTTATCAACATCATCATTTTACAGATGAGGAAACTGGGGCTTAGGTCATTTAAAACTTAACGGCAGAGCCAGAATTTTAACCCAAACAGCCCAACAATAGATGTTTCATCTAATGGATTAGGTTTAACCTAATTAAATATTCTAATAAAATATTTTTATGACAGTTAATGATATCAAATACAAGATATATAATACCTTATTATATTTCAGTATTACAAGGGCTAGAAAAATGTTTATATATTTGCTATTCAGCAAAGGATAAAACAGGTTTATGAATAATAAATATCATTTATGAAAACAGAAATGCTTTTTTTTCAAATAAATAAATACAAGTCATCCAATGGCAATCAATTTGAAGTCATTGGAAGCATTTTATGCGGTTCTCTGCATCAAGTCATGGCTTGTACAAAAAAAATCCAGCAAGTGACATCTAAGTCAAGCAAAGATCAACCAAAAATTTCTAAAATTCAACAATTTATTTGGAAATTTCTAGGAAAATTGTATACGCTATTTGTACTGCAACACACATCACTCAGTAAGCAGTCTTATAATTCATATTGTTTAGAGAATAAAAGCAAGTTTTCTAGTATATATGTTAACTTATAATAGTGTACCAGCCAGTAAATATTTTAACATCACCCTGCTTCCAGCCTCATTATAAGCATGACATGTCACTTAGATTTTCCTTATGAAAACAAGGATCTGCAGTTCACAGCACAAAGTATGAGAACGCCCTATTAAGCCTTAGATGTGGAATGCACACTTCAGACATTCTTGTTGAATTTTGGGAATATTAGTAAACAAAAATATGCTGATATTCTTTAGCATCAGAAAACTAAGACACAAGCCAAGGGGACTTCTCAGCCATTTTTCTGCTTCAAAAGCACAAAAAGCAGAAAACACTCATTATGTGAATACCGGAGTACCAATATTTCATCTTTTCCTGTGTAACCAGAACGTTGAACAAGCATGACTCATATGAATTTTGATCAAAACACAAATTTATTTTTGTCTCTCACGGTTCCTTTAAACATCCTACTGAATGGTGAAAGAAATCTTCCCCTGCCTCAAGCCGAAGACTTGGTCAAACCCATGACTTTTTAGTCATTCTCAGATCATAAAATTATTTTGATTATACAAAGAAGTCTGGATTATAAAGAGTCTCATTTCAGACATTAAAACGTCCAATGCATGAAATAATGAAAACGCTGAACAGATGGCGTAAGATCTGTACCATGGATTTGCCTTCAGGCTGCAAGCCTGCATTGAGGTTGTGGCATAGTTATCTGTTTCCTTCTCTATGGACTCACTTTTTTCCCTCCTGACAGGTGCTGGGTTTGCTGGGTTAGAAAAAGTAAGGAGGGGTCTTACTTGATTGGGGATGGTGCACTCCATGACTGTGGTGGCTTAAGCCGATCTTTTCTCTTTTTCCGTGGACATCCAGTGATACACCTCCAGCCTCTTTCTACTGAGGCATCTAGCCCATCTAGGCAGTCCTACTGGACAGGACCCAAGATGTCTCTCTCCAACTCTCTCTCCCACCTATCTCTCACGTGGCCTGCATGTATCACCTACCCTAATAACTCTATTGGAGGCAGATCCCAACTCAGCAGCACTCCTCAGACCTGCCAATCAGAGGCATCAGCTTCC